AAAATTCCATACTGGAAGAAGATATTATGAAATTTCAAAGGTTAAAGTTAACAAAAAAAAATGTAAGACGTCTAGGTGGAACAAAAATAATTTTTTTTATTATTTGATAAAATTATCTCTCTTGGTTCATTCACCCCATATCCATATTTCATGATTGATTTGACACCTCATTCGTCAGGAAAGCCATAGCAATTCAGCATGTTGACCTCACCATTAATGAGCAGATTTGCTGACATCATTCGATCTATATTCTATATCCACATTTTTTAGACCTAAAACATTCAATATGAAATGCTCCCCATCCTTGGAATTGTAACTCGTGTTATTTTATTCCGTGATATGTGAAGACTTTTTTATCGATACATCATCCATTGTCAACTACTTTACCACAAGTATTTTGAACACTAACGTTCATCGATCAAACAACATAAAATACATGAGAACAAGAATCATTAGCAAATGCTTTGAGTGTCGTGATTATGTAAGCATTGGACTTCTGGTCAAGCCTCTAGCTAACTTAGGAATAAGGGATTCCTCTTTCCTAACTTTTTCAATCCACTTTGCTTTTATTCGAATCTGTTCAATACTTTGCTTCAAGTTCCTAGTAAATGAAGGACTCACTCTGCTTCCAAAAAACTCTTCAACTTCCTCCGCCTTCTCATTGCTGCTAAACTGAAATCAACACATGTTTCAATCAGACACTAAACACGTGTTCACACAATCACAAGTCAAATAAAAAACTACAAGGCATGAGATTACTTACAGGTGTCACTATATCTCTAATGAAATGATGGAAAACCATCCCTTGACCCCATCGCTTTACAATTGCATCCCAATTGTCCTGAAAACAAAATATTAATTAAGTTAAGCCTATGTATATCATGAGAAATTAAAGAATGTAATAATTAGAATTAATATGAAATTAGGGTATGATTTTATTATTAAATAGTCAGATATACCTTTAACCATATCCAAGCTGTTTCACGGGCTTCCAAGCTTATGCGTGCTGTTACATAAATTGTATCTTGTTCTCGGATCTATGAGGGTAAAATTTTTAAAAGAGTCATGGAATGATTCAGATGAGTTGATAATAATATTAATGGTTTAAATATATACCTCATTGGAAAACATGAGGTTTAGAACCTCTGTCACTATATCTGATTCTGGAGAAGAAGCTATGCAAGCTGTAAAATGTCAAAGAGATTGGATTATATTTTATAGGCTAAAAATTATTTCAAAGAGAAAAATGAAAATAGAAAATCTGATTTTTTTAGTATAAATGCTTACTCAGAATCCTAGTTTTCTCTTGAACTGCTTCGGCTTCTCTATATAGCTTTAATAGAGAATCAAAGTCACTTCTTTCAAGAGCACTTGAAGTTCTCATAATAGAAATGTAAGCAGCCTGAAGAAATTAAAAGCTTACAAACAGAATAATTAAAGTTATCTGTTAGTTTATTATGCTTACCTTTCTAATATCAACAGGAAACACTGATGTGTTTTTATCATTCATGTATGTCTGAAATCGTTTCTTTAACTCTTCATGAGTTTCTTTGTGGCCAAAAGTAGCTAAGGCCATGAAAACTTCTTCTCTTAACATTGTGTTCAAATGGCTTTCCCCATATACAGGTTCTACCCCTAATTTCCTGAAGAAAAAAAAAACATTGTAACTCCAAAGTCCAAATTTCAAACACTTTTAAGCAATGGAAAATAGAAAAATTTTACATTGACTTCATGGATTTGAACTATTAATGGACATGCTTACTCTGCAGATGATATAATGAGATCAATAAAGAACTGGTTCAGATGATTCCATGGATCATAAATAGCATCCTTTAATATCTTTGCAACATTATAACAAACCTGTAACATAAACAGTAAAATAAAATAGTCAGAGTCACCTTTTTATTCATCATTAGAAAGGTTACCAAAAAAGCAAGATTTTTACACTGATAAGTCTTGATAAAACAAGATAATCAAGATCATCTCTATATAGATCCATTAATGAAAGAAGAGATAAAATCGACTCTTCACCAGCCTCACACAGAGCATAAGTATCATCCAAAATCCCTGAAATCAGAACCATTTTCAGCAAAAAATTTATTAAAATCAAAGATTGTGAGCAGAATATTAGGGTTTAAGGTTTTTTTTAGGGAATACCAAATTTATCTTCAGGAGACAAGCATTTATCTTGTATGGCTTTTCTCAATCGAGCTGTGAGTGTACTATCATACTTCACCCTATAAAAGCCAGTATGCCCAATGTTGACTTTGACCCACAATTTTTCATCAACTTCTTGAATTTGATTTCCATTTTGGTTTAAACTTGTGTAATAAGAATGATAAAGCTCTGATAAATCCAATTTTCCAACTTTTGTTTCTAAAAGAAATTTTTTATGGTTACTGTAGGAGCCAACTGATAAAGTTATGGGGACAATCCATTGGCCTTCACTTTGCAATCCCAATGACATAAATCGAGTCTGCAAATTAAATAATATATCAACGTAAAAATAATAAATTGAAAGATGAATTTATAATTTTGATGTTACTATACCTGTACAAATTCCAAATTGTTATTTTCAAGTCTAACATGTATAACTGGATACCCAGTTTTTTTTGTCCATATCTCCATAAGTTTGTTCACTTCAAAACCAGATTCTTCTGTAAGAACACTCCATAAATCCTCTGTCTTTGCGTTTTTGAATGCATATTTCTTCATGTAAGAACTCAATGATTTCTAGATTCAGGAAACAAGCTTGATCACAAACACATACACTTGGATATATCATATTAAGTTATGTTAACTAAAAGGGTATTTTTGGAAATTGATGGGTTCAAGTTCAACATTCAAGATTCAACAACCTGGAAAATTTCATCACCAAGATACTCCTTTAGCATACGAACAAGAGATGAGCCTTTCTTGTAACTTATGGCATCAAAAACTTCAAGCACTGAGCTGGCATTCTCTACCTCCACCTGAAATTGCATGCATCTTATAAAGGACATATTAATTTAATGTAACATTTAAACTAATAGTAAAATAAATCACTGATTATAATAATTTGTTTACCTCAACTGGATGTGATTGTTCCAATGAATCTATACGAAGACCTCCAGCTGTCACTTCAAGGAACTGTGTCCAAATTCTCCACTCAGGAAATAATACATCGGTTGCCAAGTAACTTACCTACATTATCAAATTTAACAATAATTAATAAGAAAATAATCATTTGGGTTATTGTAGTTAACTTAAAAGACCTTACCCATGTAGCAAAACCTTCATTCAGCCATAAATGAGTCCACCATTCCATTGTTACCAAGTTCCCAAACCATTGATGCCCAACTTCATGTGTTACAACAATTGAAAGCTAACATGAAAAACAAAAAAAAGGATTATTAGAAATCTATAGACTTTATGAAAGTGATAACAAGTTGAATAAGTGTTTAAATGTAGTATTATATATATATATATATATATATATATATATATATATATATATATATATATTTTCCTACTCTTTGAATGTTAGCTGCTGCTGAATGCAAATTATCATGGAGAAGTTCAGTTTCACGATAAGTGATTAATCCATAATTTTCCATGGCCCCACCAGAGAAATCAGGAACAGCTACCATATCTAGCTTGGGAAGTGTGTAAGGCATTGAGAAATACCTATGAAATTCCAATAAAAAAAATATTACTAAATTCATTTGTATGGGAATAGTTAGGGTGTGTTTGGTATGATGAAATGGAATCATCAAGGAAAAGAGAACTAAAAACAGTATGCCAATGGGAAAATTGCAACATAAGCAGAAAATATCTTTTGGATAAGATAAACCACTCTCAGTGGCAATGCATATGATATGATTTATAAATTTAAAGTTACTTACTTTGTATATAGTTCAAGTGCCTTGATTGAAATGCTTAAAGCTAACTTGCCCTTCTCACTCTTATCAACAGGACAATATGCACGAACCCTGACACCATCAGCTGTTGTTTCTTCAATGTAATCAAACAAACCAATCACAACAGCCACCAAATATGTTGACATAATTGGAGTTTCTTCAAAACAAATAGTCTTAAAATCTCCATTGATTGTCTCCTTAGAAACAGGCATGTTTGATAATGCTGTCAACTGTGATGGTATGTTGTCAACTGTTATCTTGAAGGTAGCCTGTATTGCATGCATTTAGCAGGTTGTTAATAAGTTTTTTAGTACCTAGGAAATATATGATTCTTATTCATGTTAAATACATTGCTATTTTGTGGATTTCAAACCAAGTCAAAGGGTAGAAAATGAAATTTTCATCAAATCACATGCCTTAAGAGCAGGTTCATCCCAGCATGGAAAACACCTTCGTGCATCAGCAGGTTCAAATTGAGTCACTGCCATATTTTTTCTCACTCCTTTGTCAATATAAGTCCTGGAAAGATGAACACTCAATGATTTATATGGATGTTTATAGATTTAACAAGTTAATGAATAATGATCAACCCGATTGTAAGTAAAGAAGAAAGTGAAATACCCTTTGTAGAAACCCTTCATGTGTTCGTTAAGAATTCCAGTAAAATTAATCTCCAAAACACCTTCTCCTACACCGAGAGGTGCCTCGAATACCAACACAAGCATTTCGGCATCGTTGTCCACCACCACTTCACTAGGAACCACTTTCTGCAATTTCACAAACACCTGGTGAGCATTCCGAAATACAAAAACCTCCGGAAACAGAGTGATTGAACTAACTAATTACATGGTTGTTGGAGTCTGTGAAATAGGATTCAGTAATCACTAGATCGATTGAATTTAAGACGAGGAACCGGGTGGATTCCAAAATTGATAAGTCAACAAGTACAGAGCCAGAGAAGTTGCATAATTCGAGGTTGGGTTTCAGAGCTAGATCGTAACGATGAGGAGTTGCGAATTTTGGAAGCCTGCTTTGGACTTTGAAGTGTTCCAGCTTCTGTTCTTCGTTTTGGTTCATGATGTTCATATCAATATCATCGGCTCAGTTACTCAGTGTAATTACATATAGCAGAGGCTGCAACAGTGACAAACTATAGAGATGTGATAAGGCAGATAATAGGCTCTCTTGGTGCCGTGTTTGACGCGTGATCTGCTGCATGATTTGGCGCTGGATAATGGGATATGGCGTAGTTTCTCTACTGATGCTGATTGTGACTGTTGCATCCAATAGCTTCCTTGCATTTGTAATGTTTGGAACGACATGGGTCCTTTGTACCATAGAAGCGGACAGAGGATTTCGATGAGGTGGCGTTGTGAACATGGAATGGAAGAGTAGATGTGAAAGGGTCGAAATTTTGTTTTTGGTGCCGCTGTCCAAAATCCGGGTGGATATATCCAACTTGGCGATGGTTCTATTCGGGTTGGGTTCAGTTCGACCCATTTATGTATTCTTTCTAAACCAAGACAATCTATTTAATAGTTGATTAATGGGTAAATTACACCAATCGTCCCTCGAGTAGGTGCCGAAAAGCACGTTTGGTCCCTATTTTCAAAAATTAACTCGGATCGTCCCTCGATTGGTTGAAAGTTGCACATATCATCCCTCGTTAGTTTAAATTTGCATGTTCCATCCTTTGTGAGACATGAAATGACTGTTATGCCCTTATTATTATTATTTTGACTTATTTTTCTTTCTTATAATTATTTATAAAATACAAAAAAAAATAAAAAAAAAAACCCACCTTATCTTAACCCCCTTCCCTTTAAACCCTCTTTTTCCTAAGCTACCATCGGAGAAGAGAGTCATCGAACCACCGCCTACCACCATCGATGAACCATAACCCACCCCTCTCTCTCGTAATATGAAACACAAAAAAATTAAGTCCATAGACAAAATACAGAGATCGATTGAGATCTTTCTCGCAATTGAGGGGGTTTACAGGTAGCGATGACATAGAAGATGATCGAACCATAAAGGGTTGGTGAAGATCTTTTCGATAAAGGGAACCAAGTAGGTCAAACACATTTTCCATCGGCTAGCACTTCGTGAAATCTGTGTCGCCATCGATGTTGGTTAAGGTTTCAGAACCACTGCCTCTAAGATCTATGTAAGGTGGGTTTCAAACTGTCAAGGGTTTCGAATCAGCAGTTTAAGATCATTAATTATATCATCAAAGGGTGTGGATCATGAAAGAAACTGTCGAGAACTACTCCATCTGCCTGATCGGGAAAACCACTTTTACCTAAGGTCTTAAATCTAAGATCGTCGCTACTGGGTTTCTGAACAACCACCACAGGTTTCAGTTCGAGCTCCACTGTCACATTTATGTTTGATTTTAGCTTTGGGGGTTTGATTTTGATTACAAGTTTTAGGAGGTGGTGGCGGTGATAGGTGGTGGTGCCAGATTTGAGGAAGAGGATAGGGAAGTGATGGAGGTGATAGAGTTTACAGAGAGGATATGAAATATAGAAAACTAGAAAGCTCCATGAGAGACAGTAAGAGGGACAGAGAGAAGCGATGCCATTTGGTGGATTCTGATGGTGGTGGACTGTGGCTTTCGATGGTAGTCGGTGGTGGTGGATGGTGGTTCTGGTTTCCAGGCAATGTAGAAGGAAAACGAAAAGAGAAGTGGGAAGGGAGGGTGGATTGGGGTGTGGGGACTTTTAGTTTATATTTTTATTAATTTAAATTTGTTAATGATATAAAAGAAAAAGCAAAAAGAAATTATTAAGGGTAAAACAGTCATTTTATATAAATAGGGACTAAGCGTGTAAGAAAAATAAAATGTAGGGACGGTCCGAGTTAATTTTTGAAAATAGGGACCAAACGTGCTTTTGGACACATACTCGAGGGACGATTGGTGTAATTTACCCTTGATTAATTTATGTATTTTCAATCTACCCTTTTAAATAAATGGGTTGAACATCAAACCATTTAAAATTAAAAATGTGGATAAATTAAAGAGTAAATCGCATGAATCCTATCTGCGTTTCATTCTTAACTTTTGTATTTTCATTTGCATCTTAGTTAGTTTCAAACTTACATATTTTATCTTTTTCTGGGTTAGCTATTTTTTCCCGTTTAAATGTCTCACGTGTGTCTTGTACGCAGGGATATTGTGAACAATTGTATATGGCATCATTAGGGCATAACAAAGCATTACATACCCTATCATCATTCATTACACTTCAATTCATTGAGAAAACCTAATTTATTGTTCAACACAAACAATGGTGGGTTGGAGGGTACATGAGGACATGGTTGAGATAAATATTGGATGTCATTATGATAATGCAACTTAGATTTCTTTCTACTTTCATCTTCGTTGTGAAATTTAAAAATTGTTATTAACTTATTCGTTTTCCTTCTAAAGTTGGCCACCCGGTGATTTTTAGAAAATCAAAGAGGTTTGATTTTATCTAGATTCAAGAGTGAAGGTGAAAATTAAGTATATGTCAGTTCTAGTGGAAGTGTTGTTGTCTTCATCATATTGTATGTTGATGACAAGTTGTTCATGAATAACGGTGTTCCTGTTGAAAAAGTGTGATATCTTGTCTAGGGCATTTTTATGAAAAAATAAAGATTTTTAGTGATAAATTTGGTAGGCTAAATTAGTAAAGCATAAATGTCATAACTAGGAATTCCGATGCTTTGTAAACACTTAACAAGGATAACATTGTAATTAAAACTTGAAAGCATGTATGATGTTTATTCAATGACAACAAAATTTCATCAAACACTCTATACAAACACTCAAATAGTCAACAAAAGGTTTGAAACCCTATAAATCCCGGTTTAAGTCCAATATGGACTAGGATTTCCTTATTGGGCCTAATGGGCCAATAAGCTTCCAATTTAACTATTTTGGGCTTAGAACTCTTAAATGGGCTCTCATTGGACCCACTCTCATGAGACTTAACTTTTTTGGGCCTTATAAGTCTAAAATGGACTACTTTATCTTTAATGGGCCTTATTGGGCCATAACAAATCCAATTAGCTTTAATGGACTCAAATCCAATCTCTTATACAAATATTGGACCGTGAGCTATCCTAAGGGCCCAATGAGCCGTAAGTTTTCCATATGGGCCTCATGAACTCGAGCCAAGGAAAGAATGGGCCAAAGTGATTCCTTCCTCCTTCCTTAACCCATTTCGGCCCAAATAATAATAATAATAATAATAATAATAATAATAATAATAATAATAATAATAATAATAATAATAATAAGATGAAATGAGGGTTGACATTTGTGGTGCCACCTCATAAATGTACATAGGATATCCTTATGGGTTTTGAGCATAACATCAATCATATGGTGTTCATGCACCCTAATTGCTTGGATCTAGTTTTTCTACTTTGAACATGCAATAAACTTCCAAGACTTACAAACCCTAGATCTAGCATACTAGTAATCAAATTAACATATGAATTAGGGTTTAGATCTTACCTTGATTGTTATGTAGCAATAACAATCAATTCATTGGCTTCAGAAAGCTTATTGCCTCAAGTGTTTCACCTTTAATGGAGTCACAAACACCACTAAGCAACTTGGATGAAGAGCGAAGAGAGAGAAGGCACAAAAAACGGCTGGAAACCCTAAAGGAACTCTTAGCCATATTTTTGGAGCATAGGGGCCCTTTATATACATGTAGGCTATTAGGGTTTACAACTAGGAAACCCTAATCTGACTGCTTAAGCCCTAAGCAGCCCATGGACTCCTTTAACATATCTCTTGGATGAATTCCTTATGGGCTTACCATAGAATTCGTCCAACCCATATATTATTAGGTAATCCAAAGCCCAGTTGTAATTATCTTATAATTACAACTCCAATCCCCTAAGTTTAATTAATCTCTTTTAGCCACAAAATTAATTCTTATTAATTATTGACTAATATTAATTAAACATTATGATTTCTCCTTTAATATATTATTCTTATAATATATTAATAAATCATAATTAATCCTTTCTCTCCTTAATTCATTCTATATATTGCTATGGTGAAGGCAACTCAAAAGGACCATGCTCATAGTCGGGTCAAGTACATACCAAAATAGTTATGGACTTAGACACTAATCCAACAGTCCCCACTTGGATAAGTTTAATAACTATTTTCCGTATGACTTCAGAACCTTATCAGCAATCGTAGCTTTCATAAGCCGCTGTCAACTCTGATCTTATCAGATACGCATGTCCTTTAGACAAGCGATCATATATTCCTCCATTCTCAAGATATCATATAGACACAAGACATGAATATCGATCATTCTCTCTATATTGTTTCCCAACTTCCGATTTATGACGACTGACAACAGACCACAATTGAACACATCAACTTAGTCCCGGCTTGGCCAAGCGCTTATGTGTTATCACTAAATCATTGAGGGACCCACAGATATCGCTTTTATCCTACTTTGGGTAAATGGAATGGATAAACTTTGACTCAAATGCTCGCCTGTACTCACTCATCGAATCACACACAACAATAAGTTTTATAACACCAAGTTACTGGTGTGTTTACTTATCATCAATGTGAAACCGACCAACAAATAACAACTCACACGTCTCGGTTTCAAGAATATACAATATTATCGACTCACAATCACTCGTGATGAAATCCATGAAGTGATTCTTGTGAGCGTGGGTTTAATCCAATACTCTAATCTTATTAAAGCACTCATGAACTCTGCAGCAAACTTATGCTACGTCTAAACTCTTTAGACAATCTACAGACTCTTCATGACAGTTTTCCTTCATACCTACTTCCAACATATGACCGAATGTGGAGGTTTGAATAACCCAGTTATTCTGGAAGTCAAAACATGCAAACTGAAACACAACAATAATACTTAATCCTATATGCCCCCAAACTTGTGGAAGTAAATAAAACACTTTTGTTTAAACACCATATTGATTACTCATTATTCATCGTTTATTGTTTCAGAAAATCAACTTATTACTCAAATTACAACAATAGATGTCCCATGCACACTATGTTTCCTATGGTCCTTACTTTGTGAAATAGATCAATTGAAAAACTTTTCCAATGATGCTCATTTCACAATTCCTAATCCTTATCATTAGTGTTAGAACACAAGGTTCTTGCCACTACTAGAACATGCTAGATTCTAACATTTTATGCAACGATCCTTTCGCAAAATCATAGCACAAAAGTCACCAAGACTTGGCCAATTAAATTACAAAGTACTCTATCGGAAATTTTTACAAGACAATTCCATAGACGTGAAGTCTCACATTCAAAGTACATTCCTTTGAACATCCTTCTCGCATAAAATTTTCTAATCTAGACATAGACTCTCAATATCCAACTCCCGATATAGAAACATTTCCATATTTGCCATATGACAACACATTCTTAATAGAATGTTATCTATTCATAATAATGTCGATATGGTCCATCCAATATCATACTTCCAACT